TCTTACTGAAAGTCGTTAGTGCAGCTGTCCAGGCCCAGCATTCAGTCATGAAGGACAGAGAGTCCTCCGAAGAGGCACCAACCACTCCTTTTGGGAAAGACCAAGATTGGCCAGTTCTGGCCGTGGATTTGGCTCATCACCTTCAAGTTAGTGAAGATGTTGTTCGAAGGCATTATGTGGGGGAACTCTACAACTATGGAGTTGACCACTTAGGAGAAGAGGTAATATCACCGTAGGAGCGGGAGGTGGGGGCTCAAGTTAGAACATTTATAGTTGGAGTAAAGAATCAGAAAAGTCTCCAGTTAAGCTTTTAGCTTTTCTTTCTGTTAGAACTTCTAGGCCCCCAAATAAAAGAATATTAAAATATAAAACTGTAATCAGTTGCCCGTTTCTGGTCTGTGTTTAACAGACTCCTCCAGTGTGTCAGGCCTGTTCTATGCAAAGGGCACAAGAGTAAAACACACAGACCAGATCCCTTCCTCGTGGGATCAATAGTCTGCTGGTAGCAGAAGAGCACGCGGACTCCTGTACTGAGTGAGAAACGCTGGGACGAACAGCGGTGGTCAGAGGTGACATCTGAACCGAGCCCCCGAGGAGAAGATGCAGCCAGAAACAGAAAACTGGGGCAACGGAGCTCGCGGCCCGAGTAGCGACAAGAACAGAGGCCCCGTAGCGGGACTAGCTTGGCAGCGTGCCAGGCCAGAAGGGCCTGCGTGGGGGACCGTACATAGCACGGAAGATGAAGACGTCAGAGACGAGGCGGGAGGTCGGCAGGGGCCAGGTCCTGTCTCGTAGCTCGTGGTGATTCAGAGTGTGTTCGGAAGCCATTAGAGGGTCGTTAGCAGTCACGATGTGATTTTAAGTCCCCTTCTTTGCCAGAAATTTAAAAACGGACTCTTCTAGTCATATTGAATTAAAAAATTAGGGGATAAGAAAAATTAGGTGATGAGGAGAAATTTGCATTTTGAATGCCAAATTTGATTTGGACTTTTCTTCGTTGGTTGTATACACGGCCACAGCTCAAAAATGAACGGGAATCTCTTCACTGGCAAAGCCTTTCCTGGAGTAAATAAATCTGTTAGCTCTTACCGTACGTTTGTCCACGTTCATCTCCTCAGGCCATCCTCCAGGTTCAGGACAAAGAGGTCCTCGCCTCTCAGCTGCTGGTGTTAACAGGGCAGAGACTGGCGCACGCGCTTCTCCGCACCCAGACGAAAGAAGGCATGGAGCTGCTGGCCCGACTCCCACCCACGCTCTGTACCTGGCTGAAAGCGATGGTGAGTACGGGAGCGTGGGACCGATGAGGCCACTGGATGCCTGCCGTCTACCTGTCTGTCTGTCTGTCGTCTATCGGAGACAGAGTAAGCGGGGGAGGGGCGGAGAGAGGGAGAGAATCCCAGGCAGGCTCTGTGCCGTCAGCGCAGAGCCCGACGTGGGGCTCGATCTCATGAACCGGAAGATCGTGACCTGAGCTGAAATCAAGAGTGGGACGCTTACCTGACTGAGCCACGCAGGTGCCCTTGGGTGTTTTCTCAAATGCATATTTAATAACGGTTAAGGAGAAGATTTAAATTACAAGTTTAATTTAGGTCCAAAGAAAAGCATTCTTACTAGGAAGTAACTATTCTGATAACTCTGAAGCGACCAACAGTTACTGTTGTGTATGACTGGTCATTTTTTTGTTCCATTTGCAGAACCCCCAGGATCTTCAAAACACAGAAGTGCCAATCGCAACAACAGCTAAACTAGTACATAAAGTAATCGAGCTGCTACCGGAAAACCACGGGCAGTACGGTTTAGCCTTACACCTCATTGAAGCTGTGGAAGCCATATCGAGTCCTTCTTTATGACACTCAGCCAGTTGTGAACCGTCTACAGTTGTGAACAACATGAATTAGTGCATGGTAATTTTACATAGTAAGATCTGGAATTTTATGGAGGGAGTCTATCTTTTTTCTTTTGTAAAATAAAAACACATACTACTTTTAAAAGTGCAGTTCTGGCTAAATCCACTCCTTTCGTTAATATTGAAGATAAAATATAAACAAATATCAATGATACCATTAATTACTAACAGGTGTTTTACTGTTTATTTCTAATTTAAGCACTTTAAGTAGCTTTATTGGTAAACTTTGCTATTTCAAATGGGTTATAATTTACAGATTATGTTATTAGAGTCTATATTTTGTACTTGAAATGTTATTGTAATTAAATTTAAACGTGTTCATGTGTAGTCCCCGTCAGTAAAATGAGGGAAACGACCCACTCGCTTTTGTCGGCATGCTCCAGTCCCACACCCGGGCCGCCGCCTGGAGTCAGGACGCGGACAGGCTCTTTCCCAGAGGTTATGCTGCCGCCACCGGAGGATGACCTTGCTTTGGAGGAAGAACGGGTTCGAGATCATCACATTCATCAGAAGGGACGCTGAACAGAACCTTAACCTGCTGTGCTTGCCAACTTGAAAATCCGCGAGGCAGGCACACAGCAAAGTTAATTACGGTGTAAGCTGAGATTTCCCTTTGCCAAGATTCAAAGTTGTATCCACATCAGGTGATTGTAAAACTGTACTATCTTGTAAAATTTATGTTTTAAAAAAAGGGCAACGATGCTAAAAATTTAAGTCCCACTGTATTTTTCCTACCAGTGTTTAGAAACGTCTGCTTCTGGGATATGGTAATGTTATCTGTTCTTGGGAACAGCCCAGAAAAGGCTCGGTGATAATTACGGCTCCGCAAACCTACCTCACAGCTGGGTGGAGAGAATAAGATGATCTTGTACCCGAGAGTGCCTGTGCAGTCCAAGTGCTGAATAATTACTTGTTGAGTAAAACCAGATTAACCAAAACTCTGTAAAAGCTCCACAAATACCAAGTATAACGGTATATTTTTGGAATGTAGCCATATAGTGCAATTACTGACCTCTGTCATGGATCACAGGTGTTATTCATAGTAACTCATTGTGATACCGAAGTTTGTTTCGTACTTGTGAGAAGCCAACTTTAGCGACTGGAGAATTGAGGAGCATGCCCCTCAAGGACTAAAGAAAAAAGTCTTATGTCTGAGGATCCTCAGAGGATATCCTAATTCTTTTTAACTAAAAGGTAACACCCGAATACGAACTGAACAGTCTAAGACTTAATAATTACTGTCTAATTTAAAAATCTTGAAAGATAAAGTTGGAAGACGTCTCGACTATTTGGGTGAGGGCCTGTAAGCCTGGTCGAAGGTCCCGCTGTACCGTGGCAGCACTGAGAAGGACCGAAAGCTAGCCCAACGTCTCACCCTCTGCTTGGATCTCCGCTGCCCCATCCAGACCCATTTGTGTGATTTCTTGTGAACCTACCTAGCTTTATGTAGTCACTTGTTATATGCATCCCAAAAGCTTAGTCTGAAAGTAGTTATGAATTTTGGGGGCTGGTCAAAGAAACTTTAAATCCTCACTTTGATCCAAGTGTCATTTCTGGGGGAAGGGGTACCTAATGAGCATTTTAGAGAATAAACCTGGTTAGACTAATTCTGGTAGGACTCATAATCAAATTTGGGGATTGTTGAGAGTAATAAGCTAAAATATGGCTCATAGAACTGTAACCAATCGCTGAATTACAAATCTCTAGTTACATTTGTGATCCTAAAGTGGACCATTCACAGAATTTTAAAATTGAATTACATGCTTAATTCATGGTTACATGGTTAAGAAAAGCAGCTAGGGGCGCCTGGGTGGCTCAGTCGGTTGAGCGTCCGACTTCGGCTCAGGTCGTGATCTCACGGTGAGTTCGAGCCCCGCATCGGGCTCTGTGCAGACAGCTCAGAGCCTGGAGCCTGCTTCCGATTCTGTGTCTCCCTCTCTCTCTGACCCTCCCCCGTTCATGTTCTGTCTCTCTCTCAAAAATAAATAAACATTAAAAAAAAAAAATTAAAAAAAAAAAGAAAAGCAGCTAAATATTTATTACCTGTTAGCCACAAATAAAGGAATTAAACTGTATGTAGAATAATGGGTGGTTTCTGGAACAAAGGTCGGCTGCACTTAGTGATGGGAAGCCAAGAACCAGTCGTGTTTTCTTAGAACTGCCACCCCCCTCTCTTCACTAACATTAAATAGGCATTCTGTCCCTTGTTAAGTCCCACTATGTAATGCTGAAGGAAAACAGGAATGTTCAAATCGTGATAACTTCTACATTACAGGTTGTGTTTAGATGTAGACCTAGAAGAGCCAGGACAAACCAAACCAGGTGGGAAAGAACATAGCACTGACCTTCTAAAAGCTTCCTGCATACTATTGCAAAAATAAGAAAGGAAGTTTCACCTTTGTTATAAAAACTCATCTAAGGTCAAAGTAAGCACTGTTAAAGTGTCTTCTTTAAAAAAAAATGGTTACAATTTAAAATCAAAGGAAAGATTTAATAGTATGAAGCTTATGTGGAATACACCGTTCACTTACAAGTTGCTGCGGCTCCTTCATTTACAAGAGACAGATCTTTTTAAAGGATGCCATAGCAACAGTGAAAGCCCTTTCTCACACTGACAGGAATGAGTTTGTTGGGCTTCTGAAAGTTAGATTTCTGCTGATAGAATTAGCCATCCCTCGCAAGGTTTTAATCCAATACTGAATTGTTTATACAACGCTCTTCTCTAACGTACTGTAAGTAGTGACCCTCTGTATAGACTTTCATTTTCTGTGTCTGTTCCTTGTTGTGAACTTACGTATGTTAGTGAAATAAATTTTCAGCTTTCATGTTTCACCATTCATAAATACAAGTATGAAGTTTTTTTCCGCTCTTGTAGGAGAATAACAAGTTTGCTGGCGATGTGTTGTGACGAGGTTGACGTTCACTAGTGAGGCAGAATGAAATCACTCTTTTTGTCCCTGAAGGGGAACACGCACCTCTGCCATTTGCCTTCAAAACCGTATCTTTCACTTGATTTTTACAACTTCACCAATGTCGGTAATTTTCCAGATGCCTTTATTTTTAGACATTAGAGAACTTAAATCCTGAGTCAGGAAGATTTATAAAATATAAAACATTTCCCGGTCAGCCACCTCTGAAGGCAAACACATTCAGTGTCTCTGTTCTGAATAAATCCATTATGGATCCGTCCAGATCCGTCTTCATACGTATATTTTTCTGCATGTGTGTATATACATACACGTTACTTTTTATCTAACACAGGACAGACTTACAGTTCTGAATTTGCCCCTTCTCCTCCTCCATCTCCTCCCCCACTCATTACCGAAATCTTGGGTTTCTCGCCGGTGCTGTGAACGCTCCACCGTGAGCAGCAGCGTGACCTATGCCCTTCCAGCGACGACTTGCGTGCACCGGGGGCAGAGCGCGTCTGAAGAGTCGGCGGTGTACTTCCAACAACGGGGGCATTTTTCTTTGGTGGTCGGCATGACGATTACTTTATAGGAAGACTCTTCGCGAATATCCCCACCTGGGAGAGAGAGGACAGCAAGAGGCTTTCTGACGGGCCAGTCCGCTTGTATCCCTAGCTCCCGATGGCTCTGCCGGCGCGCCTTTTTTGAAACTTCTCCTTCCCCCGGTAAACCGGTCGTTTCTACTTCATTTGCCTCCCACGCACACGGCTATGACGGGGGACTCACGATCTGACGACCGAGGACGGCCGAGGAATCGGGAGACCCTGAGTGAGAGGTTAACTGCTTTTTCTACAAGTCACTGAACTGTTATCTCCTCAGGCAGAGCAGAGCAGGCCTTCTAGCTCTTCTTTAATCCAGGTTTCGTTCTGACAAATTACTTTGCCTCTCTAGCTACACAAGAATTTGACTTTAAAAAAAATTTTTTTTTTTTTACATTTATTTTTTTGAGAAACAGTTGAGACAAAGCGTGAGCGGGGGAGGGGCAGAGAGAGAGGGAGACACAGAATCCGAAGCAGGCTCCAGGCTCCGAGCAAGCGGTCAGCACAGAGCCTGACGTGGGGCTCGAACCCACAAACCGTGAGATCGTGACCTGAGCCTAAGTCGGACGCTTAACTGACTGAGCCACCCCGGAGCCCCTACGCAAGAATTTTTAAAAGTTGAAAAATTCTAGTGACAACTGCAGTGTGCCCACTTAAAATTGCTTGGTTTGACCAAAAGAAAACAAAAATTCCTCCATTATCAGTGCTCAGACTTCAGACTGAACACACGTAAGAAAGTTATTTTCTAGCCATAATACAAACAACGTACATTAACATTTTGAGAAGCAAGTGAGAATCTTTACTACGTGGTCAGGGTTTCCAGGCCTCAGATTTACACTGATCCCCATAAATTAGCCTCACACCTCCCGATGACACCTAACAACTCTGGAAAACACAGGCAGCATCCCCTTCCCAGAGATCCCGCGTGTTATTCTCTGTTAATGTTGCTGTGCCTCCATCGCATCACCGACAGTACTTGCTTGGGAGAGAGACCGTGGTGGGCACGAGTTCGAAAAGACCTCTTCCTTAACCCTTCATTAAGAATGCCCACATCTTGGGGCGCCTGGGTGGGTTGAGTATGACTCTTGATTTCGGCTCACGTCCTGGTCCCAGGGTCGTGGGATCGAGCCCCATGTCGGGCTCTACACTGAGCACGGAGACAGTCTCTCTCCCTGACTCTGGCCCCGTCCCCCACCCGCACTCTCACTCTCTCTAAAATAATTTTTTAAAATGGCTAAATCTGTTAACATAGGGTGGGCAAAATAAGCAATTTCAGAGTCAACGCTGGAGAAGGGCAGGCTAGGCAGTACTAGGGTACTGAGTGTCAAAGGACAGGAGCACAAAAAGCCAACGGGAGTGAGTGAGGCCAACTAACTTCACACACAATGACAACTATCAATTACTCACAGGACAGCAAGGGAAGCTCTCTCCTCTCCCTAGTCCTGGGTTCCCAAGGTCATCATGCAGGACGCTTCTGAGAGCTCGCTTAGAAACTTGAGCCACTTCCCATAAAAAGATGTATTCTAAGAACATATCTGCCTTTAGAATACACCTAATCCACGGGAAAGCTGGAGATGACCTTCGATTATCACTCAGTTCTCCAGGTCCCTCTCGTTACTGTGGCCTCCTCCTTACCTTCTAAATTGATCAGAAACGTCCCTTTGTGCTCAATCACATCTGTCGTTAGTGTTCGTGGTTCCTCAGGGAGTAAAGTCGTCTGGGAAGCCATCATTAATTCATTCAACTGAGAGGTGCTGGAAGTCTCCTCAGCTTGTAGCATCTGGGAACGAGCATGTCAAAGTTACCATCTCAATTTTTACTGCAAACTGAGGTTGTAAGAATAAATGCTAC